ACTCGCCGCGTATATACCTGCGGCGAGTGATTAGATAGTCGGTGGGTTAGAGGCCAATTGCGCCAAAGTGGAGAAAAGGCCATGCTATCGCAGGGGCATATCCTTCGATGAGAACTGCGTGTTAGTCCTCATCTTCGGGGACCAACGCGCAATTTGACAAACAGACAAGACGCGGCCTCATCTTGCTCAGAGTATCCATATCCCTGTGTATTCCACAGTAGCCTTCTTCGATTGACTTAGCCAGACCGACGGCTTAACCTGGCTTATAGTAACCAGTTTAGCTCCGCCCGCTACCGCGCGCATTGATAGAACTGACAATCGATGAAGCTTTAGGTTTCACCGCTAAATTATAGCTGCTTCGTTAAATGTATTACTGTCCGTTGCATAGGCTGCCCATCTTGGCTGTATCTCACTGTTTGATAAGCGCAGTGAAGTGCACAGCTAAAGTGATGATGTAAACAACCACTATGCGTCGAGTATCGAGGTAATTTAGCGGTCGAATATCTCAAAACGGAATGCCTAGTATTCATTATCATATTTATTCGAGCATCCCATTCATCCTCAAGAACTCTAGAAGGAGTAGCGGTCGAAAGGTGCTTGAGTTTAGAATTTACAACGCTGATGAAATGATATTGAAATAAAAGGCATTATCTACAATCTGCTCTCTATTCTCTATTTCAAGTGCTCTCTACGTTCGTACGCATGTCGTTATATCAGTCGTCATCAGTCGTTATCACTTGGTGACCCCCACCAAATATGTTTGCGTCCCACCCCTATATCATGTCCCAAAATCAGCTCCTGACCACTGCTGCGAAGCGCACATGAATTTCGTGAAATTTGTATTTCAGCGCCTCGTATCTACTCTTATCAGTCGTTATCACTTTGTGACCCCCACCAAATATGTTCCCGTCCCACCCCCTATATCATATCTTGAAACCAACTCCTGACGACCACTGGTGCCCGAGCTATGAATTTCGCGACACTTGCGTTCTAGCGCCTTTTATCAGCCCTTATCAGTTGTTATCACTTTCTTTACCCCACCAAATATGTTCCCGTCCCACCCCCTATATCATATCTTGAAACCAACTCCTGACGACCACTGGTGCCCGAGCTATGAATTTCGCGACACTTGCGTTCTAGCGCCTTTTATCAGCCCTTATCAGTTGTGATCACTTTCTTTACCCCACCAAATATGTTCCCGTCCCACCCCCTATATCATATCTTGAAACCAACTCCTGACGACCACTGGTGCCCGAGCTATGAATTTCGCGACACTTGCGTTCTAGCGCCTTTTATCAGCCCTTATCAGTTGTTATCACTTTTCTTACCCCACCAAATATGTTCCCGTCCCACCCCCTATATCATATCTTGAAACCAACTCCTGACGACCACTGGTGCCCGAGCTATGAATTTCGCGACACTTGCGTTCTAGCGCCTTTTATCAGCCCTTATCAGTTGTGATCACTTTCTTTACCCCACCAAATATGTTCCCGTCCCACCCCCTATATCATATCTTGAAACCAACTCCTGACGACCACTGGTGCCCGAGCTATGAATTTCCGGTCAGAGACAACACATACACACACACACACACACACAACCGCTTAGCCGATTATATATAGTAGGATTTGCGTTTTTTTTTTGAAACACAGCCGATTTGGAGAGCAATACCTTGAGCAAAAACAGCAAAGTAGTGCGGACAATGTGCTGTTATGTTGAAGAATTACATAGCCATGAAAATGTGAAAAAAATTTCTTTTGGTGAACATTCGCTATAAGCGAAATACATTGCATCAACTTTCTGGAATTGGATGAGGCACCTTCCTGTAGCCTGAGGCTTGGTTGTGAATGGACGGTCTGTAGAAAACCAGTGGAAGGCTTCAATCGAGAGGGCTGAAATGAAAATCCAGACCTGTTGAATACTCGTTGTTTAGGTGGTGATTTTCTCCCAACCTAACGCCTCCGATCTAGGCGAGTATCTGCAGCCTTTTCACATGAATATTCCAGATGATGGCAGAGGCTGTCGCACGGGACGTCTATTGCGGTATCGACTACATCTGGCGGTTGCATTTTTTTAATTTGTTCAATTTCGGAAATAAGTGACAAAGCTCAAGACCGGGTATCTGCTGAGCCTACAATGAACTCACTGGATCACAAAGGGGATTGTTTTTTAGTTATGGACTTTCAACAGGGAAGCCTTCCGAAAAAAATGTTTATGCTGATATCAGATCTGTGTACGACTTTGTCTTTCAAACGCGAAGGGATAAAAAGGTAACGATTAATGCCAATAATGTGTGATCTTGCTATTGTATGTGTTACACATTGAAGTTGTGCCTCTTTCTCGTTCAACCGCTTTGTCGAGAGGGCTGTCGTTCGCTTCATTAGTAAATTGAAAGCCCTTTCCATATGCAAGACGCTTACCTGGTATTTCGGTCAATGTTGGCCCGCGAGTCTGCAAAGCTGTGTCTGGGTGTTCGTCCGCAAAATATACCGCCCATATCTAGCTATAGTGCAAGGAGGTCGAGATAAACATGCATTGGTATTTCTGAGGACCCCTATCTGCCTATGCAATATTGGAAGCCGACCGTTAAGAAAAATTGGACTAAAGCCATTGCTAAGACTAATGCTTCTTGGTGTGATAACACTCTGCCCTGCAGTTATTCAGAGAGGCCAAAGTCCCGATAACACGGTGGAGTGGTCATTCGAACTCCACCACAAGACAGAAATATATACTGAACGGATAAACGGACATGAAACAAAACAATGCTCCATGTCCAGCAAAATCGCAGGATACGCGGGCATTCTCAAAGGCAATTCTCGGGAGAGCGCAAGTACTTTGGAGAATTGCTCACGCACCCTAAAGTATTCCCTCTTTTGCCTCTGGTTTTTACAGGAAGCAGAAAAAGATGCTTTTCGCGGTTCTGAATAACACAGCCACAACAATGTCCCCTATCTTGCGATTGTGCTCGAAATTACTTTACTAAGGCGCCGCCGTCTACATAATTAGGCGGCGTTGTATTCATCGGGAGCTTCCTTGAGCAAATTCTTCAACTCTTCTATTTTGAATGGCCTTTAAAGCAAGCTCTCGTCTCCACTAGATCCGCTCTTAGTATTTGTTAAAATTACGCGTAAAGAAGTGGCATGCTCCTCTGTCGAACCAGCTAAGCATGCTTTTCACTAATCTTGTCCACTTTTTGCGTGCGAGCGCTATGTTTTGCACCAGTGTCCAATGGATTTCTACGAATCCCATTGTCCGTCACATCAGTTGGATGAAAAGGATTATTTTTAATCTCCACGAACACCAACGATCTCATGAAGCTCTTTGGACAACTAATGGCGGCACTGACATATAGCTGCATCGTTTCAAGTTACGTGAGAAGAACAGGTAGAGCTGCTTTCGATTGCGCTGTAATTCCCTAAACCCTAGAGTATGTCGCAAACATCTCTTCAGTAATAATATAACGATCGAGAGAAGGCATCGGTTTCAAGACCAGAACAGCATCCACTTGAATCGCTGCTATTTTATTATTTTGCCCGCATCAGTTAGTCCCGAAGTGCTAATCAAAGTACACTTGGCAAGATACGGTTATTTCCACTTGTAGCCGCAAACCGATGGAACTCGGAGCTAAGCTCCAACACACCTTCGAGCGCATCTTGTAAACTTCTTCCTCTTCTCCCTAGTGTCAATGGGTCTTTATTACATCGTCTCTCCATCTCTTCTTTAGAGCTCCTCGCAGTCTCTGACCTCGCGTCCCCAAGTCCACTGTTTTTCTTATCGGATGATTCTTAGTACGTGTCCATACCATTCGGACGTTGTTCTTTCGCAATCATTAAGTTGTCCCTCATCACTATAGAACTACCCTAAAATCCCATAGATAAGAGCGGTTTAATTTACCGGTGAAAAATGAATTGGAATGAAATTGAAATTGAATGCAGTCACCCCTCTAACTTGATGGATGGATAAATAAAAATCGGAGAAGAAGTTTAGAAGAAGCTCCGTCCCTCAACTCTAAACCCCGCCCACTTAATAAACAATTCATATAGAAAAATAGCGATTTTAACGGAATTTCTGCCGGAATCTCTCTAGAAATGCCGGAATTTGATCTCTGGATAGAACTTGAAGAGCCCATTCGATCAGTAAAATTCCATAGATAAGAGCGGTTTAATTTACCGGTAAAAAATGATTTTGAAAAAATATTTTTATTTTATTTTTGAAAAAATATCTATGGACCGCTCTTATCTATGGGATTTTAGGGTAGTTTACCTCTGGTGCCAATTCAAGCAGTTTCACGTCAAAGAAAGTTGTTGAAAAAATCACTCACTCGCTCTTAGTCTGAGTCCCTGTCCTCCATCCGATGACCGTGGTGCTAATTGTACCGAAAATAGCGGATGTTGTTGCTCCTGTTGTGGTCAAGATTCCGTCATGTGAAAGTATTGCTCTGAATGGAAGATTGCACGACATTGCAAATTCCATGCGTCCGTAATCAGGTACACGAGCTGTGTAGAAAAACGGCAACAATCTACAGCACAATTTTAAGGGCGTTCTCGCAAGTAAGTGAATCAAATGTGTTCCAATGCCTATGATGCGGAAAGGACATTCAGATTGTTCTGCTTGGATACAGCCTCGGCACGGCGGCTGTCACAGACCTAGCAGCCAGTGATCCAGAAGGAATTGTTGGAGTCGTGCTTGTTGCTCCCTTCACCAGTGGTATTCGTCTTTTTATAAACCAGCCCGGAAGATATATGGATAAATTTTTGACGTGCTGTGTTCCAATCATTCTCAAGGGAGAGTGACAGAAGTGTCTCTTGTAGCAGTCCCAGAGCGTGAGTTTTTATTTTCAATTTCCATTTACTGGCCCCACTAGTCTGAGATAGAGAAGAGGTATTTATTATTGGCAGGACGGCCAATCACAACTAAAGCGCTGCCGGATATGCTCAAATACCCCTCCACCTTCGTTTTCTGACAGAGGACCTAGGCCCGTCACACAGCTGAAGGCACAGGGTAACCGGGTCAGCGGACAATCACAGCGCGTAGTGTGTGATTTGGAACGTACCATGGTGCATTACATTTTGTTGATGCGGAATCACTGTCCGCTGACCCAGCTTCCTGCTCTGCGCACGTCAGGCTTCCTGTCGGAGATTACCCCGGGCATTTTTAATACAAGACTGCATGGCATCTAGGAACAAGGTCTGGATACACAATGTATCTTTCAATATAACGGGTCAGCTCGAGGTGTTCGTGTGCTGTGCGTAATGCAATGTCATCAAGAGGATGGCGTTGCAGTTCATCTCCAAGTTCTCACTTTAAAGGCATCGAGAACTGAGGAAATCAACCATTTGCTCTTTAGCAGGCTTAGGACTTGAGCCAGCCTCGATCCATGTAAGGCTTAAGCACGACACAAAGTAGAAGCAATAAGCTTTCAGGCCAAGCTGACATCCAACAGAAAAAACAACAAACAAACATAATCCACTGTTGTAAAAAAAGACGCTCAAACCTTAAGTTGTGTAACGATGCGCACGCCATGATGAACTTGATCCCATTGGAAAACAACTGAAACTCATCAAGGCAAGCAACTGATTGCGATTCTGTAGCATGATGACGGTTGCTTGATTCCTCTGGAACGACCTCTATAACAGCACTCAGTTCGTCACTCTTTAAATAAGCAAGGGAGCTACCCTTAAATCTATGCCCCCAGCAATACTTTCCAAGTGAGGTTGTTTTGAACCTTTTTTGTAACTGTGGCTAAATGCTCCATGTTATTAGCATGATATTTCGTGGTACCATATAGACTAGTAGATTGGTCCCTCGTCAATCGCCGGGACCTTCCTTCCCTGTGGTCCGTTCCACATGTTACTCCAACACCTCGTGGAGGTGACGCGTGTGCAACAAATTAGTTTCATGTAGTAGAGAGCGCAGTCCCTATTATGACACCCGACGGCGTTAGAATGAGCAGATCGTAGGTCGCTGCACCTCGGTAGATCAATTGGGTTGATTGCTTTGGTCGCCATCCGCTTATGATCTATCTCTCTTCCCTGCCGCCAGCTGCCCACAGCAGCCACCATGTTGGAATAACTGGGAAGGTGTGCTCAGAGGGGGGGATACATTAAATAAGCCGTAGTTGTGTTATCACAATCTATCCTGCTACAAAACATTGATATCTCAAATCCTGTAAGCTACCCGATTTGTTAGCGGTTTGTTTATCCCATGAGCTTCCTTCTCACTCACTTCATTTTGCGGACGGACACACATACATACATACATACATACATACATACATACATACATACATACATACAAACCGACACACAAAGTTAGCGCTTTATAAATAGAAGGATGATTAGAGGCAAACATTTTTATTGAATAGAAGAGTAGCATTGAAGAGTAAGCAGCAATCTCATAGAAGTGAGTGATTTGATGTCACACTATAAGAATGCGAGCGCGCCGAATAATTACGCACCAATCTATAAGTTGCTGGGTGTGTGTGGTTTCAGCGCTATTTGTCGTAGCATTAATAAAAGTGTGCTCACTATATTCTATTCTTCAATTCTTCGCAGCATTTTCGTTTAGTTTCAGTTTGTGTGCTTACTTGCTGTGATCAAACGTTTGATAGATCGATTTCATTGCAATCTATCGTCATCCAATTACGAATAAAGTTGAATTTTTTAGTGTTGAGAAAGTTCGCCACATCAAAGTGCCGATACTGGTATGCCACGGTTGCCGAGACGACTCCATATCTGTAGAGCATGGATTTGAGGTTTATAACAGAGCTCCGCGGGTCGTGTCACCCTTATTTTTGGATGATGCTGATCACGTGTCGATATTTAACGGGAAATACCTCCATACATTCGTACGAATACGAGAGTGAGCCATGCTATTCTCTATTCCAATACCTTGAGAACTTCATAATTCGTGCTCACAAGAACTGTTTTTTGTCGTATCATTGATGAATCATTAATCATCAGCTGAGATACTTGCATTTGACTCAAAGTTAATGCAATAGTCGCAGTAACAGTGGTGCAGTAACAATAATAGTTCAAGTTTCAAAGACGGTAGGCCGATACTTGGCCGGCGCACGAAAGTGCAAGCCGACCCATCGCGTGCCGCATGCTGCACATGATGCATCCTCTTTATCCACCACTCCTCCAAAATTCCTCTTTTATTGAATTAATCATCGTCACTCATTATACACAGTTCGTCAACAGTTTAACTCGGATCGTACAGTAGCGTTTTACTGATTTGGGTTGTACGAAAAAGGAAGTTTGAATGTGAGGTAGTCTGTGGATGCTGAATAGAGTAGGAACTTCCTCATACTCAGCAATACGCTTTAAACACTACTTCGTGTGGCCGAGTGCACGGTGTGGGTAACGACGTTTCGATAGCAGAAGAAGGCTTCAGCTCCGTCCTATTGGGAAAAGGTCGCGATACGCAATTGATCGAGTCATGTGAATCGCGTGACAGTGAAGAGAAACTGAAGCAAAACCGAATGTAAACCGCAAAGTGGGCCCTTTTTACTCCTTCACCGTGAGTGCACGACGAAGTTCCACTGCCACTGGAACTGTTTACGCGAACGAGGTTCTCCGTCCCTCTTTTGCAGCAGCTAAAGCACAGTCGGATTCTGATCGACCTGCATTTTAAGCAGGAGCAAATGTCCGATCGCGGTGTGGAGTTTTGCTTCGCGCTCCGGCCAGTCGTGCCTGCTGTCTGAAAGAAAAGTAAGAGGACTATCAACCAAAAGGCTTGCAAGTCGTTTGGGAATTGCTCGATGGGTCGAACTGGTTTGAATATACCCTCACCTAATTCTGTAGGTGTTTCGCAAAACACTGCACAATACCGTTCAATTTTAGAGGACAAACGGCGAAGAAAGAGTGCACTTAAATCAGCTCAGCAGTCTCAGTTGAGATGTAGACGGGAATTTGAAGATAACAAATCATGGCAATAAATAACGAGGCAGTGTGTGAAGGTATTTTTAGGTTCCTGGCCAACGAAACTGATGCGATAATTACGAACACAAATGTCACATCAGAAGAAGGAACAAGTAAATCTGAAGAGCACTCGAAATAATGTCATCATTCATCGAATAGAACAAACTCGTAATATTTGAAATAAACGGTTAACTATATTTAGATTATTAGCCAAACAATAAACCGTATTGTGCTGCCAGTGTTTGTTCACTCGCAATGCATTTTTTCATAGATTCATTTTCCTGGCACTGCAAACAATGAGATAGGATTTCTCTGAACATTAAGGTTCATATACTTATTGCTTGATCGACTCCAACGGTGCATTCAGAAATCAGGATTATCTTGAACTTTATTGATGTTGTACTACACAATATATTCAAAGTACGGTGACAAACAGTTCGTGCGAGTGTTACTTTCACATTGAATCGATCGCTTGAATTTTCCGTCAATAATCGAACCGTTCCAAAGATGGAGCAGCAGCCCTCGGTGAGTCGAAGCCCGACAGCCTGGAAAGAGAGACCCAACAACGAGTGCGCTTGGTGGATAATAGTGTTGAAAAGTTTCAAGAGTTAATTGCTCCCAACATTGCTACGATACTCAATAGAAGAAAGTAAAGATCGAAAAGAGCCACCCATTCACACAGAGTGTTTTCTATATTCAGTGATGGCACAGGGAAACAGGTGAGATTTTCCCTGCATGTGTGTGTTGCTCGACCAAATGGCCTGAGCCACCACGATGCTTTCCTCTTAGATGTCGTTGGAAAAGGCCTACAATAGTTCCATTTCAAACATCTTCATAAAAGTGAGCGCTGCCAAAGCGCTGAAATAGCCGATTTTGTTTTCGTGTACAATGCCGCCTGAAGCAAGAAAGAATCTTAGCATGCAGAATTTCACCCGGAGTAGTTTTAAAAAATATAATAGTGTGATGACTGCTAACAGCTCATGAAATGTAATCGTTATCAGGTAAATTCATAGAGAAATGAGCATTCGAGAAAGAAGCATGTCATGTAAGGGTTTTTGCAACGGATCTTTCTATGTTCGTCCACAAGCCTGGTATAACTATGCTCCGATTCCTCTTCGCTCCCCTTGTAGAGAAGCTACAGAATAACTGCGGAATTTTTATAATTTCGTGGTTTCACGGTTTCGTGACCATGATTTGGCGGATGGCTTCAGTAATTCCGAAACCTGTGGAATTCCTAGTCTCACGAGCTGCCGGGTGGCTCTTTTGGAGATCTGCTGTATGGTCAAAACGATGCATCGCCCGACCGCCATTCAACTCAGTTGCAGTACACATAATGGTCTCTTTCACAAAGGCCGACCTGTTCGGGGAACCAAAGGGTGATGTGAATGCTATCAAAAGCGTATACACCGCGAACCAGTGAGGATCAGATAATTGGCTTGAGTTTTGACATTACCAGTATAAACTCGGCGATGAGTGCTGCATCGGATGCGCGGAAAACAAGCTATAGAAATACCACAAACGACAAGGTCTCTCGGTTAGGGAGCGGAGAAGCAGAGGTCTTGAGGAGAGCGCTGCAAAGGGAGCTCGTATGGGCAGGTACGAGAGAACCTCAGATATTTCTCATTAACGAACATGCCTTTATTCGAGAAACCGCAAGAGTAATTGCTAGAAGTCTCAAAGAAACTAAAAAAGCACGAATAACACTGCGATATCAAAGATACAACTCTTATAGTCAGCAATGACTAAACCTGAGAAAACGCGCGAACACTTCATTTCTCGTGGGAGCAATGTCTCAAGTGCAATGCTACCAATAGTAGTATTCTGGCGGAAGCTCTCGTCGCATTTTCTACTCATAGCGAATGGAGTTATAGCAGGCAATACAATGGCTCACGGATTGAATTTCGTAAAATTCGGAGCTCTGCAGAGCCCAATTGTCCCACTTTGGGCTGCACAAGGATTGGCAAGCCGAAAACTCCAGCTCGAATGTAGCGGAATATTCAATGTGGTGGGGTGGATATTGAAGTTGAAAAAGTGCGTGAAACAATGTAATTTGAACAGATCGGTAATAGCTGCTTTTCAGAGAGTATAAGATGAAGTTTCCTAGATGTCACGCTGGCAAAGGACAACTTCTGTAGCTTACGCATGAAGAAAACTGCAAAGTACATAGGTGGCCATTTGATTAAGAACTGTCAACAATTTATTTGAATCATACGCTGGTGTCCTTGGTATTCTGTTTCCAACCTTTCTTGTTCGAGCTATGCCACAATTACTTTATCACCATATTTATGACTTAACCTCTTGAGCATTAAACGATTTTGCGAGGTGTGTGCACGTGGAAATGAAGAAACTACACTGCCCCTCATATTACTTCGACCTACAAAAGTCTCAAAAACTACCATGTCGAGATGTCTCCAATCGAAGCTTCAAGGTGAATATGTGCTACATACAGATGCAAATTTGAATGAAAGTATCAGTTCGTTGATAGGAGAAGCCGCTTCGAAAAACATTAATGAGGAATATTTTTAGCGTTTTTTAATTGTAACTTGTGCTGGTATGTGAAGTTTCATCTATACGTGGCTGTCACACACCCCACATTGAAGCTTCATCGAAAGCACAAGGAAATAGTTTTTGGAACATTTGTAGGTGAATGTTCTACCATAAGAGCAATGAATTAAATTAAAATTAATTAAAAGTGCTTGGTTTTCAAAATTCGATCAGACTACGTGACGCTTCAACCAACCCCGATGTTTCCGGTGCTGAAGCATGGTCGAGAAGACTTCGACTCTTGCAACAGCAAATGATTACAGATCAGCGCTAGTCAAATTTTCAATCCATTCGAATGCAAGGACCTTAATCATTCTCTCCGCTGGACAAAGAACACGGATGATCAGGTATTTGTCCGTATTAGGAACACGGATAATCAGGTATTTGTCCGTATTAAACTTTTCGATGAAGTCACAATGAGTTGGAGTTTAGGCGAAACCCTAGCACGGTGCGCTACAGCGCTAACATCAAGTAATCAAGGTTACCAAGTAAGAATCAACACCCATTGTTACGCTGCGCTTCAGGTACGTTCCGCAATCATTGTCAAACAGGATGAATTCTCATTAGGAACGATCCAACCAGATAGCCTCATTGACATACGCGCAGAGGTGTGGTAATTAGAGTCAAGCTGCACAGAAAATGGAAGCCATCACAAACAACGGACGGCAATGACAATGGTATGTTCTGCACTGCTTTTGTGACCAAAACGGACGCATCAAGGGCAGATTAGGGTCTGTTTTGACCTCCTTATCACACTCCTGATAGCTTCACACATCGTCTTCGTGAACAGATCCCTGTCCCTTGCATTACTCATCTTTTCCCTACATGTGCATGCGAACCTAGGGAAGAGAAATTTTGACAACACTGAATATTCAAAGATTCAAACAACAAAAAGAGTGGCTGGAAAATTTCTTCAACGAAAAAATATCAAACAGTAAAAGCCCAGCTGGAGACATTTCAGAAAAATAAAAAAACATATTTGAACCTTTGAACAAAAAAAATAAATAAACACATCACGTTATGGCAAATAAAATTCGGCACTATTGCACAGGGGGTGAGATTGGTCAGAAAATAATTTTCGCTGAAACTTCGGCTATGGGGGTTATCGAGGGTTCTCATCACGAATATGATACTCGAGGGTTCTCATCGCGAATATGATACTCGTTTCTGGCGCTGGCGCCAATTTGGCGCCATTTGGCGCTAGGTGGCGCCACGGCTGATTCCTATTAAATTCGCTGTAAACTTCTGTAAAGGGGTTATTTGGGGTCCTGATTACGAATAAAATAAGCAAAATAGAAATAAATAAATATGGGTTGTTTGCGCTATTTGGCGCCTATTTCCTGCTCGTCTGCGCCCTCGCACTAATTAGATCGCAATCAAACTAAGCCTTTGACTAGTG